TATGTTGGTAGCAAGAGGAGGATTGGGGAGGTGTGAGTCCCTCACTGAATGGGAGAGACATTCTTCCCCTGTGCATGTTTATTGAAAATCCCTCCTCTGTGCCATTGACTCTTAAGAGTGTGACATATCTAAACATGCAATTCTAAATAATGAATTATAAAAATTAAATTACACTACAATAAAGATTAAATACAGATAGATATGCCACCTTAAGTGTTAGTGTGCCTTTAGTTTCATTACTATTATATACTGATTGGAAGCTGCAAGAATGGTGTACAAAATAAAATATTAATATTTAAGAAGCCTGCAAGTAATATTTTTAATTGTAAATCATGATATACCATCTAATATAAATACATGACAAAGTATTGCTAACTACCATGCATATAGTAGCTCTTCAGTAAGAATGTTACTCCACAAGTTCTACTGTGATATCTTCATCTCCATCTTAACAGCACAACAAAATACTCACCATTTCTTGCTTACAGCACTACAACAAACTTTAAATTTACTGGATGTCCAAATAGCTCCATATTTTGGATTTTATGAATACAATTCTGGTACCACTGAATATGCAAGTAACAGCCCAGTCCTGTAATTTTTGCTCTTCTTAAACACAAGCTGGTTTGCTATAACAGCATTCTAAAAACAAAAATACACTGGAAGCCGATCATTCTTACAATATGTAATGGTCATGACTGTGTGTTAATTTTAAACCTTTTCAAATGACAGTCTTTAGATATGCAACTGTACAATAGGATCAAGTTCTGAATTTGTTTTTACAAGGCACTGAGGAAAGATTTCAGACCCATGCTAATTGAGCTTTCCGAGTCCTCATTAATATATGCCCATATGGGCCAACTCCTAGAATAGTGATAAAATCTTTTAATAAGAAGCATACTAGGGACCTTTAAAAATGTTTAATGTTTTTGTCATATTTTAGAAGCATGCCCTAATGGTAAGAATGTTAGAAATACTTTAGGTTCTAATCCTATCAGTTTCCCTGACTTTAGAACGTCATTTATTTGAAAAGAACAATACATTTACAGGTCACCTTTAAGAAAATGTCATTATTATTTTACCATCTAGAAAGTAAAACAGCACTACTGCAGGTGCTTAATGTATGTGAGTAGTCCCAGTGCCTTTTATGGAATTAATCATGTCTCCAGTCAGGTATGTCTGTGACACTTTAGAAGTGAACCAAACCTGTGATATCTCCCTTATCGGCACTTGTTGTAGCGATGTTTTGATATTAACCCCATATTGGAATGCATTACTAGACTCATTACCTTCTTCTGCCGCAGATTTGAGACAAGTGGAGTCTTGTACTTCCTGTCAGATGATAGGCATTTTTACTTTAATCTCTTTGACTAGAACCTTATTGGTCCACTACTTTTAGACCACAGAACAGACTGGCACCCTTTGTTTCATTCATGCTAATGAAACAGGCACAATTGTATATGGTGCTTACAAGGAACTCTCTTCTAGGAGTATGACACTAATGGGTGATTAAAGTGACGCAAAATAGCACATCCACACAAGCTCACCATCTATTTATCTGGAGGTATGTGGCAAAAAGATAAAAGATTAAAACCACAGAATGTGTGCACATTACGGACTTACATAAAGCTCAGCATTTGGGTCAAAGTCCTAGACAAGCCCAGTTGACAAGCTGTCTCTTGGATGGTATATTAAAGGCTTACTTTTCCCTGTGAACAGCTTTTAACTACTGAAACTCCCCTGCATTACACTGACAGGATGAGTTTAAAACTCTTTAATGTTTTCTCATCTTAGGACCTCAGTCCTGGCAAATAAGCCTCATAGCTCTGCCTAATACTTATGAAGATCCTCATCCAAATTAATCCCCCAACAATTGTTCTTTGAATTCTCTGAAGTTGCTTATCCTGAGATGGTTTCAAAAAGGGCATAGGAAGGATAAAATCAATAAAGGCAAGGAAAGGGCAAAACTACTCCATACAGAACACTATGATACAAATCAATGATTCACCCTCTCATTAAGGACTGCAGTGAATTTCATGTAACCTTTCTCATAAAATGAATAGAAGTATGGTGGATTTAGATACTGGCAGTTAATTATTAGAGATACTCAATTTTTTTATGAGGATAAAATGTAACAATTAAGACTAACTGTGAGAGGAGATGACAGACCTATATGAATTAGGATGGTATATATCAGCAAGTTAGACAAATTTATTTACAGTCTTATAAAAGATGTAGAATGGAAGAGCCAATGAAACTGAAAAGGAAAACATTTGAAAGTGAGAAAAGGTTATTGTCATATCACAAACAGCCAGTGAAGCTCATTTGTTGAAGATGGAAGCTTGAAGCATATGAATATATCAGGATTCTAAATGAATTATGGCATCTATATCTTAATTAGGCAGATTTTAGTTAAAGTGTTCCCGCTGCCATTTTGAAACACAGGATCCTGAATGTACAGGATGCTGTGGGCTTTTTAATTAGAGCATCTCCCAAAAGCCGCTCTAATTAAAATGCCTCTCCCTTCCCTGCCCCGCTGTTCCACCCTGGAGCATGTGCAAAGGTACCCATAGTGTGGACTGTAATCTGGTTCCTTCCAGAGACTATTCAAACTTTGTTACAGTCCCCCTAGTACAGCCTGTCTAGTGGGTGTGGAGGACCATGACTTTCTGATCCCTCGACCTTGCCTCTTGCAAAGAACAAGAATAGATTAAAACACATTATAAATGATTAACAATAAACTATAACCTTTAAAGCCATTTATGGTGTTATACCAAACAATATATACACTTAAAACTATAAATGCCTGTTTAAAGCAGATGTCTGCTCAGGTCATCCAGAACTTGATCTAATCTCTTCCAAGTTCCCATCTCTGACTGAGCCTTCTTGCTCACTTCCTTGAGGAGGAGGTTTATAATCTTGCTCTGCCCCTATTTCCTTTCAGTGGTTAATCCTCTTTAGGTTGAGATAGAGCATATATCAAAGATTAAACTTATTTCTCTAGAGCAGTCTATTGGACTCTTCACTAAGTAAAATCTAGGAGCATTTGCTATATTTTAGACAGTTTAAAACATTTGGGAACTTTCAAGCCAAACTGTGTCCCCTGGCAGCAGCTCTGATAGTGGTTTTGCTCTGCATTGAATATTGAAGTTTCCTTGCTGCTGAATGCTGGGTTTCCCTCCCCAGAGAAAGGGTCCCAAGTGTCACAGTGGAAGCTGAATGAACAAGCTGGGTCTAGTGGCAGTGGAGTTCTGAGTGACACGGAAGCTGGATGTCCCTTAATTGAATGGGTTTATTAACTTACGCTTGCTAGAGCGCAGGTATGGAGTCTTCAGTTACAGTTAACAACACACAACAGGGGGGGACCTGTTGTCCCACGGGGTTCGCCGACAGGCCCTTGCTTTCTACTCCTGGTGCCGGAGCCCGGAAATAAGTGCGGCTGCCTGTCAGGTAAGTCCCAGGGATGGTCAACAGTTTATAAAGGAAAACAAATAACGAAACAGAACTGTAACGCGTCGGTGTCTCCAGTCCACAGAACAGCTGGGTAGCCGAGGTGATTGCTGAAGTCAGGAGCCAGGTAAGTCACGCCGAGGTTGCAGTCAAAGTCCGTAGGGGTGATCCCAAATCATGGTCGAAGATAGTTGGAAGCCAAAGATCAATACAGTTAGCAATACAGAACTCCAGGCAGGGAGAGAGGCCAATAGGCCCAAGGGCCTAACTGGAGGACAGTCCCTGAAGGAATCAGCCTCTGTCTCCAGTTGTGTGGGTCTCTCTCTCCCTGTGGGAGGGGGCTCGCTAGCCTTTTATCAGAATTTGGTAGCCAATCAGAATGTATACTCCACAGAACTTTCTAGTCTGATTATATAACATAATTGGGCATGCTCACTGTTATCCTCTCTCACACTGGGCATGCATCTGATAGGGAAACTAGGTCACCCTTGAGTGACAGGCCCATAGGTCATGCAAAGGTCACGTGCAGGGCCTGTTACTATGGCGCTTACAAGATAGCCTCTGCACTGGCAGCACTCACAGAGCAAATTTCCAAGACACTGAAGTTTTTAGTTCAGCATTTTGCTTTTAAAATTTCTGTAATTTTTTTGTGCTGCAGTGACAGCACAAGCCAAGGGTTCAGAACATGAGTCCAGGGTTGAACCTAGTTGCCCATACACTTCATCTAGGTCTGACTGTTACATCTTGTGGCCTTATCTATTTTGACAGAAGTAAACTATTTTCTGGCAAGTATCATCATTGTTCAATTCTGATTTGCTCCAGTCTAGTAGCAGATGCTTTTAAATCTGTGTTCGGAATCAGGTTGGAACGCTAATATCAGGTTTAAAAAGGGGTGGACATTGGGTTATTACTGTTAGCCGAGGTGACCAGACCTGAGCAGATGAGAATGCCAGAGCATTTGACCACCTTGGTTTTACATTAAAAAAACAGGATTAGTTGTGACAAAGATGTAAAACAGAACAAAAATTTATTGAAGAACAAGAACAAGGGGAAAGGGAATGAGAGAACAACATCACAATGGATAATATGTGTATAATATCACAATGGAACAAAGCAGAAATCACAAACATGAACAAACAACAAGCTAATATCAATACTTCACCAAATCCAATGAAGAGAATGTCAATTGAAACCAAAACAGATTTAGTCAAGGTAGGAGGAGTTAAGTCCAATTGATGAGGTGATCCTAAAGAGGCACAAACATGCCACAAGCCTACCCCCTGGTCAGCGTCCCAACTCAAAATCACCCCAGAATTCTGTGTTACCTCAATGCAGGCAGGCATGAATGACTCATGCCCCTGGAGACTGGGGGGGGGGGCATGGTGATG